TACTTTCAACATATAGAGCAAAAATTTATATTAAAGCATATGACAGACCAGCTCACCAATTCGTTGTTTGTTTATCTGATATTATGAGTCATATATTACCTTGCTATAACCTGTATTGAAAGTTTGAAATTCATTTCCAATAGTATAATATGTAAACTAATAAATTGAGAGTCATTTTGATCTATATGTTGAAAGTACTAGAATAAAAACTGGGAGTTCCAGTCCCACCTTAGGTATAAACCTTGGGCCAGACACTTTCTCTCAGCCCTAACAAGGAGGCAATAACAAACCAATTCTGAAATCTTGCCAAGAAAACTGTAGGGACTTGTCCAGGCAGTTTTTAGAAGTTCAGACTGACTCAAAAGCAGACAAACAAACAAAGAAATAAATACATAGTATTGTGTCGTATATTTAAAAAGTAGAGATGCAGCTCTCCAACCAGTTGTGGGGGAAAAAAAAACTTAGTCTAAAGGAATAGTGGTCAAGATTTTATTTCTGTAGATAGATTTCCTGGCTGATTCTACCCTGCTGTGCTTTTTCAAGCTGGTGAGACTAAAGTTGTAGGAGAACTAGCAGGAGAATCAAAATGTACTAAGAGGGTTGTGGGTTTTAAAAATAAACTAACTGCATGGCAGTTGCAATTCCTTCCAAAAAAAAAAATTTAAAAGCACAATATTTGACAGTGATCATATGCGATCAATTTTTTTTAAATACCCTCCCTGTACTGTATCTAAATGGAGAAAAAACTAAAAAAGGAAAAAGAAATTTAATAATTTACTGCCCACTAATCCTTTTCCTCCTGAGAACTGAAGAAATTAATCCTTGGCTGCCCCAGTTACTTTGCATCCTCCTGTTTCTTTATTCCCATCGCTCTGCCTTGCCCATCGTCTTGGGGAGGGGGGGATTTAAAGGAGGGGCTGTCTCTCCAAGTGCAGGCAACGGCTGCTTCTCCAGAAGATTTGGATTTGGATTTTATTCAATTTGTAGGTCGCCCTATTCCCCGAAGGGACTCAGGGCAGCTGAACAAAGACAAGGGAGGGGAAATTTCAAAAAATGACAAAGACAATCAGACAATACAAACCAGGGGTGGGTTTCAGGCGGTTCGTGGCGGTCCCCGCGAACCGGTTGGTTGGCGAACCCGGAAGTAAGTAACTTCCGGGAACACCGAAGGGTCCACCTGCCCGCCCGCGTTTCTTACCCAGTTTTGACGAGTTCTGCGCTTCCACGCATGTGCAGGACGCATACAGCGCCTGCACGATCCTCCAGAAACAGCTGGAGCATCGCACAGACGCTAGTACGCATGTGTGCGTACACTGCGCATGTGCACGAGGACGCCGCCGGCCCCGTTCCAACCGAACCAGTTGGAACGGGGCGAGAAACCCACCCCTGATACAAACAGTTTAAAAGCACAACAGACACAGCAGATTCGGGTGGGGGGGGGGGACTCAACCCCAGGCTTGCTGGGACATCCAGGTCTTCACGGCCGTCCGGAAGGCC